GGCTGGACCCAGGCACTCACCTCTGGTCCAGAAGGGAAGTCGTCCAAAAATATCCATTATATTCTAAGAGACTAGAACTTTTACTTTACAGCCAGAGTCAGTAATAAAACTTGAGGTCACATAAGATTTAAAATTGCTCTCCTACTGCCTACTTACCCTGTTTGTTTAACCTTCATTTAAGGGAGCAAGTGGAGCAACCAATTTTACTTGCCTTGATTTCTCATGCAATGAACTTTTACAACATAATCTAATGCATAGCTGTGATCTGAAGATATGTACTTTTCCATGCCCTTGACCCAGAAAGCAATGCAAGTGTTTTCATATGTGTGTTATGATAATAAAAGCTGGAATGAGAAAATATAGGTTGAAAGCAACCTTATAAAATGAATATCTGCCATAAACACTGAAGACAACATTCAGCTATTGTGTGATAAATAATGATGTTTGCAATGCTATTTGTGAACTGGGTGCATTGGTGTCAGTGGCTTCCTTCCTCGGAAAACAAAGATTTGCGTAAAGTATCAATTCCTTCCTCCAGGTAATGTTTTCTGTGACGATCAATAAACAAGAGTGCAAAGTCCTTTGTTAGGGATACAAACACAAAGACACAAAGACACAGTGACAGTTTCCAAAGACAGCATTCAAACTGACACAGATTCGGACTCATACAAAAGAAAACGAATGATGAAAGACACAAGGAAAGAGAAGCTGAGAATTCAAATCTTGGCTTGTTTTTAGTTAAATTACTCCAAGGGGAAGTGCTTTTTTTAAAATTTTATTTTATCTTTTTTTTTGGTTTTTCATGATAGGGCTTCTCTGTGTAGCTTTGGAGCCTGTCCTGGAACTCACTCTGTAGCCCAGGCTGGCCTCAAACTCACAGAGATCCGCCTGCCTCTGCCTCCCGAGTGCTGCGATTAAAGGCATGTGCCATCACCGCCTGGTGGGGAAGCGCTTTTTTAACCATTATGGTTTTAACAGAAATAGACTTACACCACTCTTTCCCTCTTCCCTTTCCTCCAGCCCCTCGCAGCTACCCTCCATTAAACCCTTCCAGTGGACCCCCACTCTTAAGTTCATGGGATGATAACTTCTTTTTCTTTTATTATATTATTGTCTATTGATTGTCTATTATTGTCTATTGATATTGCCATTGTTCTAGTCTTGTTTATGTGGCCATTTCTAGAAGAGACTGTTTCACAGCAGACATTTGGTACTCTGGCTCTTACAATTTTTCTGCCTCCTCTTCTGTGATGTTCCCTGAGTAACAGATACCGGAGCTGTGATGTAGATGCATCCATTAGGGCTGGATTCCACACAGTCTGTTGATCTCTTCCATTGTGTCTAGTTGTGCTTTTCTACAATGGTCTTCATTTGCTGGAAAGAGAGGGTTCATTGATGAGGGGTGGTAGCTACACTTACTTGTGGATATAAGGATAAGATTTAGAAAGTAGTGACACATTATGCTGCTCTAGCAATGTCACAATAGTAGATTCTTTCCTAAGATCCATGACCTCAATAGTCCTAGGAAGCTGTTGATTGCCACTGACGTGTGATTGCCACTTCTTGCACCTTTATGCCTATCATGCCAGGTTTGTGATTGTCATGGTTCACAGGTGTTGCTGCTGGGTAGACTGTTTAATGGCTTCCCTCCCTTCACACACTTTCTGGAACCATGGAAGCTAGATCTTGGGAAAGAGGCTTTTATGTCTGATCTAGCTCAAGCATCTGAGTCCCATGTCCTAAGTGTGTGGTGTCTTCAGCAATATACCCCTAAACTCCTGACCAACAACAATGGGTTACATCAGGAGTCTCTGTTGCTTTGCGAGTCACTTGGACTACCCTGAGCAACCATTTGAAAGGAGGTTTCTGGTGCTGGATACTGGGGTCTTTGCCAGCTATACAGCTGATTGAGGATTAATATAAAAAATATGCAAAGAACTCAAAAGCAAAGAATCAAGAAAACAAATGATCCAGTTAAAAAGTTGCCTAGGGATTTAAAATGAGAGCTCTCAGTAGAAGACATGAAAGTGGCTAAGAATACTTTAAAAAGTGTTCATCACCTTTAGCAATTATGGAAATGAAAATTAAACAATTTTGTGATTTCATCTCACCCCAGTCAGAGTAGCTAAGATCAATAAAACTACCAACAACAAATGCTGGAGAGGTTGTGCTGAAAGAGGAATGTTTATTCCCTATTGGTAAGAATGCAAATTAGTGCAGTCACTCTGGAAATCAGTGTGGAGAATTCTCAAAAGCTAAAAATAAATCTACCATATGACCCAGCTGTACCACTCCTTGGCATATGCTCCAAGGACTTCACATCCTACTCAACAGATACTTGATCAGTATGTTCACAGCTGCTATATTTACAATAGCCAGGAAATTAAGGCAACCTAAATGCCATTCAACAGAAAATGGATAATGAAAATGTGGTACATATACACAATGGAGTAGTACTCAGCTGTAAAGAACAATGAAATCATGAAATTCATAGGTAATTGGATGAACATGAAAAGGATTCTATTGAATGAGGTAACCCAGGCCCAGAAAAAAGAAAGAAAGAAAGAAAGAAAGAAAGAAAGAAAGAAAGAAAGAAAGAAAGAAAGAAAGAGAAAGAAAAAGAACAAAAGAAAGAAAGAAAGAAAGAAAGAAAGAAAGAAAGAAAGAAAGGAAGGAAGGAAGGAAGGAAGGAAGGAAGGAAGGAAGGAAGGAAGGAAGGAAGGAAGAAAGAAAGAAAGAAAGACTCCAAATCTTCAAATGTGAGTATACAACATGGAATAACCACAGAAACCAAGAAAGTATAAAGTATAAAGAAACCATATTAGGAGGTGGGATGGGAGAAGAATAGCAGGATACAGATTATATGAAGTGGGAGATGGGATAGGAAAAAAAAATAACACCAGAGTTGTTTGATAAAGACTCAAAGAATCATATATTTTATTACCTAAAATCATACAATTACATACAAAGTGTGTGTGTGTGTGTGTGTGTGTGTGTGTGTGTGTGTGTGTGTGTCTAAGCCACTTGGATTGACAAAAGATAAGAAATATAGAATAACAAAACCCCCAGTACCAGACATGGCAAGTTCTCTTAATTTTGTTTTCTTAATGCAATACCAACACATTATTGGGTATTCTGGGTTCATCACTAATGCATTCAAACTGATGCAAAAAGTACAGTAGACATATTTTATGGGCTGCATTAGTGCCTTTCCCCTTTTATTCATAAAGGACATGTTCCAACCTCTCCAATGGCTTCCTAAAGCTATAGATGATATCTACTCTAAGGACTAAATATTCACAGTGACCATGACTTTTGCTATTTGAGGTTCAACTGCAAAACTAATATGGATTTATTTTTCCTTCTTTATAATTTCATGATTGGAAAATTTATTTTTTGTGAATTCAGGAACTCTTTATCTTTTCATTTATAGGAAGCACTTTTAGCACATCTGAATGTACAATATCATTAATCTTGTGTTTTGGAGATATTAAGAAAAGTAAGGGTTATTTAAATGCAAGCACTGCAAATATGAGACAGTTAATTTCATTGTCTATACAGCTACTACGTGGACAACACATGCCCATTGTATATTCAGTATATATACATTACACAAAAGGGTTATTCAGGACTGAGTGGGACAGAATAGAATGGCATAATATTTCACCAGGTTGCTCATAATAGTAATAGTGGCCTGCAATTTAAAGCTTAAAATTGTTTATTTGTGTAATTTCTCATTTAATGTTTCCAGCTGTGGCTGACAGCAGAAGGAAAATAAAATCAAGTATTAGGGATAACTAATTGACTTAATATCAAGGAAAACAATGAACTACATATAGTCCAAGAGACATGGATAGATATTATAAGACATAATGAACAAATAAAAAGAATAAGTATTCTACTATGTCATTTATTATTAATTAAAATGTACACACAGGAAAAATCAAGTTATAATAATTTATACTTAGGGAGGGAGAGATGGCGCAGCAATTAAGGGCACTCATTACTTTCTATATGACCCTGGTTTAATACCCAGCACTCACATGGCAGCTCACAACCATCTGTAACTCCAGTCTCTGGGGATCCAACGCCTGCTTCTGTCCTCCTTAGGGACTGCATGCACATGGTAGATAGACATACATGCAGGGAAAACACATACACACTTATAAATAATAAATGAATAAATTTAAAAAAGAATTTATACTTAAATGAGAATTTAAAGATTTCAATCAGGGTTGGGTAAGAAAGAATGGATATAAAGGCAAATAAATAATAAAAAAGTGGTGGATCTTACAGAGACCAATGATGAAAATGTACCATGAATTAATTATGAATAAGTATGGCTGGACTGTGCTGTTATTTATTAAATTATAAAATATTTATAGATTAATATTTTCCAGCCACCATGCTACATGTTAAAGCTATAAAACAGACATAGCCAATATTCCCATAGAACTTATAATTTAATTGCAAAAAAGACATTAATGAAATGATGCTAGAAATAATTATACATGTGTAATTACAAGCTTTAATACTAATGGTTTAAAGTTTTTGTAGTAATTGGTGTTGGAGATTCAGCTCTGTAATTTACTAGCTATGTGTCTTTGAGCAATTCACTTAACCTTTATGGCTTAGTTTATCTATCTGTAAGACGGGACTAGTACCACCTATGTTACAGTGTTTTGAGAATTAAATGTGGTGGAGAATAGAAAACATTTAGCAAAATTCCTGTAACATAATAACTGAACAACAAATGGAAACTATTATTGCTATTAGTATCCATAATGATGTTCTTTAACCTCTCATTTAAACTTACTAACTTTTAAGCAACAACTCAACATTTTTGGTTTCATCTTTTCCTTGCAAGTAGTAGATATAATAAGATAAAGTAGAAGCAGGTTGAAAAGGTGGATGATGCATGTTAATAATGAAAATCCTATTGAAGAATCAAAACATATTTGGTATATTCTGAGTTTAAGATTCTATATGAATTCATAAAAAACTATTAAAATGCTTTGATTACATAGAATGTAAAACTCCATTTCCTAGAATACATAACTGCATGGAATTATTCTTCAATAAGGCTAAAAGATAATTACTGATGTAGTTTTTAAAACTGAAAGATGAATAGTAATGTGTTGTGGAAGATTAGTTTAAGTTGTGTTACATTCATTTATGCTGTGCATTATCTGCATAATGATGCAAATATGTATTGCATTCTTTTATGTTTTATTCAGTCACAATGAAGAACAAAATTAAGTCATTTTAAGGAAAATGATGAAACTGGGGATCATGTTGAGCACAATTACATAGTTTCATAAAACCAAATATTACATGTTTTCTCTCATATGTGAAATTTACTGTGGAGGATATGAACATAAAGGAGCACTGCTAAGTATATGAAAGAATAATGGGAAGTGGAAGGATAAGAAAAGATAACGGGGGATGAATATAAGCAAAATATATTATATGCAGATATGGAATGCCATAATGAAATCCATTGCTTTATAAAATTAATATATACTAATAACAAAAGAAGGAGGAAGTGTCCCTTCCTCAATAAGATTAAGTACTTCAAATGTGATCTTGATTCCATACCTTTAAAATTGTTTTTTCACAATAATTTATTCCCTCTAAGATCTTTCAGTTTTCTTCCTCAAGTGGCTCCCCCCCCCATCTTATCTTCCCCATTAAAAAATGTATTAAGATTGGGTACAGGTGGATCATGATGGAGAAATAAGAACTGCCTCAGTTGTTTTCCCACAAAAATTTCAAGTTCAACATTCATCCATGCATTAAAATACATTAATAGAAGCCAAGTAAAAGAGAGATCATTGTGTGGTTTCTTTTAGCATCATAAGTAACAAAGCTCCCAGTGGGTAAGAAAGACATAATTGCACTGCCCATGTGCTACTCCTTGAATTCCACACAGAGGAGAGTAGACACCCCATTCACTTGGGTACAGGAGAGGGAAGTAAGTGTAGACCTTTGACTTGGATCTCAGTACCAGGTATATCATATTTAAACCCATTACCAAGGAAGAAATTCCACAGATTGAACCTCTAGATCTATGATCAAAAAATATTTTCATGATGGAAAATAATGTGTTGCAGTTCATAATATGGTGAAATATGGTGTGGGCCTATGATGTAACAGTACTATCGTGGTCTCACAGCTTCAGTGTGACCAGGCTTTGCCTCAATCTTGGGCTTCTTTCTCCATTCCTCCTCTAACCCTGGGCATGAACACTATCTTCTTAGAGAAAGGAGAGGAAAGTAAGCGTAGGAATTTGCATTGCAACAATCAGATAAAGTCCAAATAAGTTTATCCCAACAGATACTGTAATAATGTAGTTATAAAAATGAAAGAAAAAA